CGATGGAGGCTGAGGACCAGATTGAGCATGTGAAATCAAAGGCAAAACAGGATTTGATGTTGCGTTGAGCAAATTGGGGAAGAATTGAACACATAATGGCAACATCACAGCATCTCTGTAAAAGGATTTCAGTTGCAAGTAAAATCGAAAACTGGAATCATCATCAATAACAACAGGAGGAGGGCAAACTGGCAACAAATACAAAAATCGAAAATCATATTGCGCACAATCGTCACCAATCGCTACTCGAACAGCGTGAATTAGGTCTGCGAAAGAGTTTTCAGAATTGATTTCCAACTCACAGTTACGTTTAGAATGAAAGGAGGAATCATCACTCCATTCGCCATCAACATTCAGCCAGGGCCGGTCCCGAAAAATGAAAAAACAAAATTGGCCCGGTCCAAAATTTATATTTGGGGCCCTATTTTATTTTTTAGAATACTTATGCTTTAAAATTATTAAAAAATTTAAAAATATGGGGCTTTAAAATTTTAAGGGCCATGTGCGGTTGACCACTTTGCACACCCTCCGGGCCACCCATGCATTCAGCAATATATGATATGAAGGAGGTTGAGCAGACATTGATTTGAGAGAGAAGAGTATGATCAATTTGCAGAAAGATGAAGAAGAGAGCGCGCGGCGGAAAATTGAATCGGAGAAGAAGGTGAAATTTAGACGTAAATAAGAGAGGGTAAAATAGGGAGATTAGGTGCAAATTAGTTCCATTTTTGGAAAAAAAAGTGGTACTAAAAGGGGAAAGGCACCAAGTTTTGGTACCATGCGCGGCAAATTTAACATAACATTGCTGTAGAGTACTTCACTCCGAGCCCGGAAGAAAAGGGAAAATTTTTTGAAGTAAATTTCTAGCTCAGAAAATTGCGTTTTAGACACGCAAAAAGTGACTTCTAACGAATCTGCTTCTTTGGCATTTCTGAAACGAAAAAAAAAAAGACGAGCTATAGTGGGATGTGATTGCATTTCCTCTCCTACGAAGAGAGTAATTTATTTCCAAAAAATTCAACCTTTTATATTATTTCTATTTTCTTTTTTTTTTTTTTGAGAAAAATATAGAGTATATGGTGTTCACAGTTATATACGGAGTACTACATAGCATATTTGACTATTTGAGTCAATAATTTAGGGACCGAAAAAATATTAAAATAATGGTAATCTAAGAGTCACAAATAAAAAAGAGACAAATATCAAAAACTTGTTATTTATAAACTTTTTAAAAAGAATCAAATAGTTTCATTCGAGTGATTAAAAGTGAACGTCAATTCCAAAAAAGACAAATTTGTAAAATCTATTTCATTTGGTTTGTAACTCTACCACTTCTCATAAAACAAATATAGATTCAGGTAGGTCCTGTCCAAATCTTCCCTAGTGTCATCCTTAATTTCAACCTTTGAAACCTAAAGTCCACTTCAGCCCCAACTTAGGTTGAACAAATAAAACCTTTGCAACTTGAAGTCTACAAATGAGATTCTCCCACTGGCCTAAAACTCATATATTTGTGATGAAGGTTTCAAAATTTGCAACTACAAAGCATAAAACTAAAAGACCAAAGATACATAGCTAATAAATTAAAACATGAGTATAATTGCATTCAAAAATCATATCTCCCAAAAGAGTTGATCCAGCAACAATAGAATAATCAATCAAGGAATCGATTCGATAATACTATTCATCACACAATTTTCTTATTTTAAACATGAACTTAACGTTCATTCATTCATTTATTTATTTTGCAAGCTCAAATTGCTAGTGGTTCTTTTAGTGTAGAAGCATGTGAAAATTAACGTTAAGTTCAAAGATGGTAATTTTATTTTTTGCATTTTTATATAAATAAAGCATGTGTTATTTGAAAAAGGAATTACGGACCATATATAACTTTTTTCTTTTAAATATTTGTAGTATTATCTTTAAGCCCCTAAATATTAAACATATTTATACTTTTACCCGTTAATTACTTATTATAATTTTCAAATATTATGTATTTTCCATAAATAATGTGTGTACCATTTAAGAATATACTCCCTCCGTTTCTTAAAACCCTTCCTCTTTCATTTTTTTTTGTTTTTCTTAAAACACTTCCCCTTTCTAATAAAAAACCACTTTTACCCCTACTTTTTCATACCCTACCTATCACATCATACTTTTTCACTAACAACTAAACTATCACATCTTACTTTTACCCATCACATCAAGGGCAAAATTGGAAAGTCAACTACTCCCTCCGTCCCCCATAGATCTTCCCAATAGCCCTTTTTCTTTGTCCACAATAGATCTTCTCATTTCATTTTTTAATAATTAAAATACCACAACTACCTCCACTTACTTTATTTATTACACCTCACCCACCTCATTTAATACACTCCACCCATTTTTCATTAAGGGTATTATAGTAAACTTTCACCTTTTTTCAACTCTCCTTAAAAACCACCAAAAGTCAAAATGAGAACATCTTAGGGGGACGGAGGGAGTACAATTTAACACTTCCTTATTTCCCCCCAAAGTCAAAAGAGGAACTCTTTTGAGAAACGAAGGTAGTAATAATTAATTTGTAACCAAGAATATAACAATTAGTATTTAAGAATATTATTTGATAGTGATTACATTTATTACAATCATTCAAGTCATTAAAAAGTGGCGGATGAATTGTTAAAATTTGCCAAGTGAACTCGCCATATGTCGCGATTTTGAGATTTCAACTCTCAAATTTTATATATAAAGATTTTCATTTTAACTTTTTGATTGATTGTTTCATAAGAAATTTATTTTGGAATATATATATATATATATATATATATATATATATATATATATATATATATATAATTTTACAGCGCGCCTTTAAAAAAAATCTGATGGGTCTTGGGGGCCAGAGGGAGGTGGAGGGAGAGTCCCAAACCCCGAACTAAAATCCCCTCAGTCGTTTTAATTTCTGGACTCGTCACTGCCTGACACTCGCCCCACCCTTTCGAGCGGTGGAGCGGAGAGGATCTCTCCGCTCCTCATTGTAAATGCTGTAACTTTCTCCCCAACATGGCATTTTTTTAAAGAACTTTGAATCATCTTAAAAAGCTTTCATGGTCGGGGATCAGAATAACGCATGTATACCACATCGCATTTAGAGCCCAATCATTTCTTTTTAATAATCCACGGCCAGAATCACCTAATTGCCAAATCCAATTGCATGGAGGGAGAGCTAAAATACAAGGTTTTTAAATAGTCTCAAGGATTTCCACTTCTCGATTTTTCCTTGAGATCTGAATAATTCCATATCTTGATGTAAAAATAGAAGTGGAAATCCTTGAGTAAATTATAAAACCAATGTTTTGCTGCGAAACAAGTGATAATAAATTTTTTTATTTAATCAAATAACTCAAAATGTGTATAAGATAATAGAATTAGTTTGACTTGGAAAAAATACTACTTGTATGTAGTAACTAAAAATCTTTTTTAAAGGCAGAAGGAGTAATACAATGGATTGAACAAATGGGGATGTTGGAAGTGATTTTCATGGTTTTGATAATGGTTATCTTCGAGTCACAAACAAAAAAGACAAATATCATAAATTTTCTATTTTTTCATTTTTTAAAAAGAATCAAATAGTTTCGAATAAATAAAAAGTGAACATATATTTACCAAAGACAAGTTTGTATAATCTGCTTCGTTTTGTTTGTGACTATCATTTCTCATACAATAAATATAGGTTCAGGTAGATTCTATCCAGATATTCCCTAGTGTCATCCCTAATCTCAACCTTTGAAACATGAAGTCTAGTTGAGCCCAACTTAGGTTGAACAAATATAACCTTTGCAACTTGAAGGTTGACCAGACTAATGTGATTCTCCCCTTGGCCTTAAACTCATATGTTTGTGATGAAGGTTTCAAAATTTGCAACTACAAAGCATAAAGCTAAAAGACCAATGATACATAGCTAATAAAACATGAGTAATTGCATTCAAAAATCACATATCCCAAAAGAGTTGATCAAGCAACAATAGAACAATCAATCAAGGAATCAATTTGATGATATATTAATCATCGCATCGATATCCGACATCTTCATCAAACCCGTCTCTCACTTCCCTCTCTTCATCAAACACATCTCTCACTTTGTTCTTCTTCTTCTCGTCAGTACCTCTCTCTTCATCAAACACGTCTCTCGCTTTCTTCTTGACTTCAGTGCTTCTCTCTTCATACTCAACTCCCCCACTGCCCCTAAAGAGTTTCCGGAAACTTGTGGGGGCGCCGTACAACGTCCGAGTTCTCATAATCAGGGGTTCCAACCAGCGCGGATTCACTCTTCTTCTCTTAGTCCATATCTTCTTCCAATCCGATTCCCAGGTCTCCTCAAGCCGCTGTAACCGAAAGCTCTTTTTGCCTCCCAATAGGCACCTGATTATATCCTTAGTGTAGCGATTTATTTCTGGGCCATCAAGGATATATATGTACTGCAACATGGGAAACACAATGGGGAAAGAAATGAGTGAAGTGCAAAGGGATGAAAAATTGAAACATGACAAGTCAATGCTCTTTCATAAAGGCAAAGCCTTGACATGCATGAATAATCATGTTACATGATTTGGATTCGGTTGATGGGGCTTTTCATTTGATTGCAAGCAAATGAACATTGTGTTACATAAAGCAGCCTATCTATGTTTTAGTCTCCAACAACCGATAAATGATCTTTTTGAAAATCATAAGCATATTATATATATATAGGGATTGACTCCAGTGAGATGACACTTTACGGTGAGATGACATGCTTCGGTGCGATGACGCAAAGCTCACCACATTACACTGCAAAGCTCACCAATGGCTAATGTAAAGCTCACCTGGAAATAAAGCAAAGATCACCACTTTGAACACCAAAACTCACTTTTTTTTTTATTTTGAAAATTAAAAAATTAATAAAAAATAAAATAGCAACACCGGTCAAACACCGGTCAGCGGCAGCGGAGACCGGCGGTCGGCGGCGGCGGTCGGCGGCCGGCGGAGTTCGGCAGCAGCAGGCGGTGGCCGGTAGCGGCGGAGGTCGGCGGCGGCAGGCGGTGGCCGGTGGCCGGTGACGGCAGGGGTCACCGGTGATGGTCAACGGTCAATGGTCAAAGTCTAGTCAGCACCCCTTCCTTTGATTTTATTTTTTCAAAAAAATTCAAAGTGTTGAAAAAATATGGTGAACTTTGCCTTACAGTTTGGTGAGCTTTGTAGTTGTCTTTGGTGAGCTTTGCAGTGCTCAGTGGTGAGCTTTGCGTCATCTGACCGTAGCATGTCATCTTACCGTAAGATGTCATCTGACTGGAGTCAATCCCATATATATATATATATATATATATATATATATATATATATATATATATATATATAATGTGTGTGTGTGTCGGAATAAGGGAGATTTACAAACTAGTTCATGCTTCGTTTCTTTAAAAGGAAGGGCAATATAAAGAAAAAACCAAGTAAATAAATGATATCATGCAGCACCCGCTCTTAGCAATATATAGACAACATCAAGAAAACAAGCTTATACTTTGCAGTTATATATATAGCATGCAGACACCAAAAAAGCATAGATAAAAAAGGAGAATTTTTTACCAAAAATACGAAGCCTAAAGTAGCCAAGACAACTTGCATTGCTTCGTCTAATGCCTCAGAGATGTCTTCACCATCAGGTCCACCGGAACCATCTTTACCAAATTTACCCCCACCACCTCCTCCACCAAAGCCACCTTTACCAGTACCACTACCTCCACCATCATAAAACTCTTGGCTCTTAATCTGCTGTCTTAGCACATCCTCAATCGACTGCCCCTTGTTGACACTTCCCATTAAATTCTCCACCGTGTCCTCTGGAGCTGCCTGATAGACAAGGTGAATATACACTGAGCTTCACATTTCTTACAGAAGGCATTTGGTCTGTGTAAGCTGCTAATAACTCCCCACAAGAAAGTGAGGTAATGATGAGGTGATCTTACTATCCCAGGTTTCATATGTATTGTAAGATTACTTTGGTAACTTTTTAGACTATTCCAACTTTGTCCTAACATAAACTTAGGTTCCAAGAATCACACACACACACGTTATTGAATATTCCATTACCATATAGGTCTTACTTGATTGCCTATCTGAACTTTTCTTTATATACATTCAGGTGAGGGGTGGTGTAAAGTGAAAACAATTTGAACAGGTAGAAGATTCAGGGGTTATAAGGTTTCAAATAGTTTATCATAATCAAGACGTAAGTAAGAAACCCTTCCTTCATTAAGAGGCAAGCAGCAAACAAGCCACACTAGAACCCTTATGCTAGTTGAATTTTATGAAACCTATGCATTCTATTCAAAAGCATTTATCTTTAGCTTAAAATTGACAAAGAAAATGATGCACTGAAAGAAGAGTGCCAAAAAGGAAGATTGAAGGGAGCAATATTGTAACTTGTAAAGGAGGCATAGTCCAAAAAAAAATTAAACTGCAATCAAATAACAAAAGTTCAACCATTTATACTACTCTGGCTCCAATCTGCAGGCCAAGTTCCAGCCTATGAAAACACAAGTAATAGCAACAAAAAAGAAAGAAAAAAAAAGAAAAAACTGATGGGTTTATGTAATACACTTACATCATTTCCATTGCCTGACTTTGTCTTACCACCAAACAAACAGACATGTGCAGATCGTTTGTAAGTAGATGTACTTGCCGCCACATTGAGAGACAACTTAGGAAGCATTGCAACTAAATCAGCTGAGGACAACTTATTTAAAATCAAGGACACTGGAAATCCTGATTTCCGTGCTGGGAAAGCACTTTGGCAGGAAGGAATTGGAGGGTAGGCTGACAGGAAGGGTTTGATAGTAAAGCAGCTCATCTCGTCAAGTCGTTCAATACATTAGGAACCTCATAACATTAAAACCCTTGACTTTCTATCACTGAACAATAAACTGCATGTGAAATACATGCTATACGGGATTTAGGAATCTCTTGATGAAATCAATTCCCCTGAAAATGAAACAAGATAAGATTCAAAATGAGTTCTGAGAAAGACTTAAAGAAAATGGGATAGCATTAACTTAGCAAGCTGGGCCTTCAAAAATCAAGCTGGATTAAAATTACGTTGGTGTCCAAATTACCAGCATCGTGTTATAATTACCATTAGCAAAATTTATATATAACCCATCTAACAATTTGGTTAGTACAATGTAGTTATTATATTTTTGAGTTTATGGAAAAGGAGTAAACTGTTTTTGGGACGGTGTGTGTGTGTGTGTATACACACACACACACACATTTATAGAGAGAGATTCATTTATGTTTGCATTTATATTCACATGTCTGATTTATCAGTGTCAAAAAGTGAACCCATTTTCGTATTTTCAACATCTTCAACTTTTTCATTCTCATTTACATTTTCAACAATGTAATCTTCATACTCATATTCTGAAACATCATCATCATTTACACTATTTTTGGTTCAAGAAATTGGGAAGGTAGAAGAAAAGAAAATGACCTGGAAAACAATAGTTCTTCTTTGGTAAGAAGAGGAAAAGAAAAGAAAAGAAAAATGAAAGGAAAAGAAAAAATACACTAAGAAGAGGTGAAATAAATTTCCTTCTATTTTAGTGAGGAAAATGAGAGAAATATTTTTTTTATTTTCCTTTTCTTCCCAACTCCTCAAACCAATCATAGCATAAGTTCTTCGAGTCTCCTTTTCTTTTTACGTTTTTCACGATCCAATACTCATTTTCTAGGAACCATAACTACAAGAAATTTAAAAAAAAAATGAGAAACAAGTAAATAGATAAATGAAAAAAATCATAATTAAAAGAAATTATTTTTACCAGATTATGCATAAATTCGTATTCCTCAGGCGGATTAGCGCTTAGGGTTACTCAATAGCACTCACTACCTACTACACTCTAGCATTCCTCAGGCGGATTGGGCCGGGAATAACTTTACGGAGTATTTTCTAAGAGAGAACATAAAAATGAAAAATGACCTAATCGCTAAACAACACGAACGAGCAATTGAGCATTCAAATACGTAGTAAGAAATTAAAAACAAACAAGGAATTCGATGCATTCCGAGCAAGAAGAATAAAGCGAAGAACCTGAAGAATCGATGAACCGGAGACGGGAAATCCGAAATATGGATCGCCGCAGACGGATCCTAGTCGCCTTGCCTCCTCCGTCCGTCCGTCCGTCCGATTTTCTGAGTCTCACAATTCTCGGTGTTCTTCTAGAAATCGCATGGGCCGGATAAGCTAGGAGATTTATCTTAAGGACATAGATAGGATGGGCAGGGCTGTTAGCTAGCAGTACTTTAGAAAAATGTTGGGCCCTTGGTTTTTTCAGGCTCCAATTGGTTATGCTCCGCAGACTAGTTAAAAGAAATCGTTCTAAATAAGAATAAAATACTAAAATATCAGATACAATATTGCGATATTATAGGGACTGATATTTGCCAACATACAATATCACGCATAAGATATGGCCAAGCTTTGATTGATCCAAATTAAACCAAAGTATGATACAACAATATTTGTTTTGGAAAACAAAAAATAATGTTGAGATTGTTAAATAAAATTGATTTTAAATAATAATATAAAATTGATTTCATTAAATTCATTTTTCAAAATAATTTCAAAGCATTGTTTTATCTAATTAGTATATAATATAATTTTTATTTAATTATAAATTAAATATTGAACATAGTTGATTGCAAAAACTCAAAGTTGGACAAATTAAAAAAACATTGTACTAACCAAAACGTCTAAACATGACTAGTACAATACGCAGTACATAGTACTCCATACTCCATAATACTCCGTATATGCATTAAAATAACAAAATTTTTTGGAATATAACTCGTTTAGGTAATGTTTGAGAACTGAAATTCATTTAAAATCTTAGTTTTCAATTCTAATATTTCAAATCCCCATAATTTCAAATTATAAATGTTGTTTAGACAGTCATTGAATTTAAATTCTGAAGTCAGTAAAAACGAGAACGTAAGCAGATTGATTTGTAAGGTATCGTTATTACATAAAAAGAGATCACTTTTTAATTATAAGTTCTAAATTAAAGAAAAATTACGCTTGAATTTATAAATGATATGTGGAGAGATGTGGATTTGTAATTGAGTTCATTTTGAATTAGAAAAAATTGGTCTAGATTCATCTCCAAACTCTTTGAATTCTCAAACGGGACCAAATCCAAATTCAAGTTTCCAAAAACACCATTAAAGAAAAGAGAAACAACGACATGATGAAATCATGTAGGAAAAAAAGTAAAACATGCTATTAGATAAATTAACACAGAAGGAATACGAGCCAATATATTTTCACTATAATTTTTTTCAACGATATTATAGTAAAACTTAAAAATCTCAGAGCAAAAGCTCTCTATACAATCACTTTTCCATCTTCAAGGCCACAAAGTGAAGTTTGTTTGCTTGCTTCTTTCTTTCTATCTGTTATAAAAAAACGCAGAACAGATGTCTTCTGCTTTACTGAAATAAACACAACAGCTTAGAACTGAGAACACCAGAAGCATCAAACTACAAGACTTGTCTTGTTTTTCCAGATCATTTCCAGACGATATCGCCTAAAAACTGAAGCGCCGGAACACCTCTAATTTCAACGTCAACCAGGGGTGCCTGCACCAGCATCAAACTACACAGTTCCGGATCGCTCCCTATCGAATCCAGAGCCCGTGCTTGATCCTGCCACATTATCATTATTGTTGTTATTATTATTATTATTATTTGAGCAGCAAGCTTTTTTTTCAAATTGTCAGTTGCATTACTTGCATATATATATATATATATGGACATTGCAGAAAAGATTTAAATAAATAAATGTTTAATACCTTCCTCTTCACAGCGCAGAATTTGCAGTCGGAAACAGACGGAGGAAGAACCTGGTTAATAATAAGCCGCTTGACAGGAACATGTTCCTTCTTCAAGGAAGCACACAGCCTTGATGATTCACTGATTGCCATCACCTAAAGGACACAGGTTATCAACCCATTAATAGCAGGCACTGTAGGAACTCAATGAGAATAGAAAATTACTCCCCCTCCGCGTTCAACAGAACTATACCCAATAATCCTCTGACCAATATTGGAAATGTGAACTCAATTTCACACAAAAAAAAAGTGCAAAGAACCAAAGAATATCCTCCATATGATATACTACCGTAGGAATTGTTACGATGACAAATTCTGTGGAACTTGTGTCACGAAAAAGTTCCCTGACTTTTATCATCCTCTCCCGCAAGCGCTCCAATTTATCACCCTGCATAATGCAGTATAAAGTTGGTCTCAACAATAATAAGTAATTCTCACATGTCACCAAGGCAGTGAAGCTTACAGAGTCTTGTTTTGGAGCTTGTTCCTGCCCAAACACGGACTTTATTGCTGATGTGGCTGACACTATCTTCTGCCTCAACTGTTAAACAGTAATATATTGTGTACGTAAGTGCTGATGAGGTGACTGATTTAATGCATTTTAAAAAAAACTAAGTGACTTATTAGATGAAAAATGTGATGCTCTTTTGGAATTTGCATGATATGTGCACACAATTTCTAAATCCTGCAATGATAAAAAGGTTCTACCTTTAATATCTTTCCTATGGATGCATCCAAAAAGTCTGGCAATGATAGGAGTCGTAGAGTATGACCCTGTGAAACACAATCAATCACATTGATGAAAATATTCATATTATTCTTCTGTCTTGTGGTATGGTGCACGTGACAATTACTTTAATCTTTGGGTCATTAAAGTAGTACTCCCTAAATAAAACCTACTTTGACTAAGCACCGAGTTTAAGAAAATGAAAACTGTCAAGATTTATTTAAAGATAAAAAATATGAATCACACAAAAAAATTCTTAAGAGGAAATAGGAGATAATTTAGGGATGAACAAAAAAAATGAAAGTGTCAAAATTATTTGGGAATTGAGGGGTAACAGCTTTCCTACCGTGGGGGCAGTATCAAACACAATACGGGTGAACATATTGTATTCTTGAGATTCCAAGAATTGCATAACCTGGCAAGTGGTTCACAAATCAATCAGTAAACACAAGAAAAACAGTAAAATATATTTCATTGATAATAAAATATAAGTGGAGCAGCATTAGAAAATATTACATGCCTTTGAAATTGCAATGGCCTCATCCAGACCAGGAGGTGGTGTATCCAACAACTCCCCCAGTTTTAATTCACCCAGCTGTGCCCATCATATTAGCTATAAGTCAATACCCAAAGAAAACAATAACTTGTTTATTTCATAGAGCAAAGATGAAAGTTTATATTGTGGCCAAGTATGAAGTCATTTGGTAGCTTGAGTTTTCTGCTTTCTATCCTTATCACCAGATATACTACCAAAGTACCAAACCACATGGGTTAATGAGTTAACGGCATTGACTGAAATGGTTGTAGGTTGATAACGAAAAACAATAGTGCATGAATTACCTTTTTTGTTGAAATGGTTAAAACAAAAGTAAATGGCATTTTACCTTCATTTTTTGATGTTGTATAGTTTACAATCTATTTTCAATATATATATATATATATATATATATATACGTAGTATGTTTTACAAATTCAATCTATTCAGACCTCGGTCATTTCGACCAAAATTTCACCAAATTCCAACCATTTGGCCACTTTATCCATTTCCGCCAATTTTAATCCCACAAAATGGGCTCTAAAAAGATGAAGGGAAAATATTTAAATAATTAAGATTATTTGTTACTGAAGAGCTCGAAGAGTCCAAACAAAGGATTGCTATGCAATAAAGGAAACCCTGATAGTATTAACTAAGAAGCATTCAATTGCTATTTTGAGATTGACTCCTTACTCATGATATCTTGAATCACTGGATATATGACAAATTACTCGCCTAGAGGGAGTTGAAATGCAGAAGTACAAATCTATGAATTACTATACCTGATCTGCAAGCACCCCAAGGCCCATTCCATCCATGAAGTCTTTGATCCCTGACCCCCCACTACTTTGGGTTGCACCGCGAAACTCTTCCTTGGCTTTTTCAGGATTTAACTGCCATTGTATATTCACAATTTGAGGTCAAAGTGATGATAATGAGTATTATTATTATCATCATCGTCATTATTATTCATAAGGTGGAGGGGCAACAGTGTAGTGTTATTTGCTAATCTTAATAATGAAATAAAGGAGCTACTGCAAATGTGCAGACCTTGGCACCTCCAAAATATTTAAGGAGCTAGACAGGCTCCCTTACGGAAATAAAGAGGCTGCTCCAATGGCTTATGTGTCATCATCATTCCTTTATAGTGAGCAAACGTGCTATAAAAATGAATGGGGAAGATGATGCTACATAAGACATCATGATCAATAAGAAAACATTGGCTGGCTCATTCTTATTACTCTTTAGCACCCACCTCAAGTGCAAATAATGGAGAGCTTGGTCCTTCCACTGGTACAAGCGTTCCCCCAGTCAAATCCTATTGCAAGTGTGTAGACAGAGAATTTGTTACTTTTACAACAAAACTAAGATGCACATGAAAGAAAGAATAACCCATCCCAAACCTGGGCAAAAGAATCACTCAGAGAATGTGCAGGGTCAGTGGAAACCACGAGAGTTGGGTGACCACTGTTAGCAAATTTAACAGCAAGTGAAGCAGCACAGCTTGTTTTTCCAACTCCACCTTTTCCACCTAACAAATAGTATTTCCTCTGCGTCCCAGAGAGCATTTCATCGAACCCCGTAGTGACCTCCGCGGGAGCAGCTACTGATCTCACTGGCATAGTAAAATAAAGAGAAATCCAATATAAGTACTTTATGAATTTTAAAACAAACAATTATAAATGCATGGAGTAACAATTTCCTATGTTGTATATTGGGAATTCAGTTATTTAGTTTGAGACTTCGAAGAATGGAGCAATGATGAGCAACTAGGGTTACCTCTGCACAAAGGTTAAAATAATAAAGTTATGTGATTGACATTTTCTTACAATTCTTAGAATAGAGAAAAACTATAAGATCCATAAAAAAATTTCCTAAAGGAAATTGCAAATTTTGATTGGGATTTGAGACGGAAGAAAAATGACAGTTGACAAGATTTTTAATTTTTAGGGACAGTGGTAGTAATTAGCTGGTAATACATTGAAATGCTAAGCGAACACTTGTTTTCGGACATTTATTTTCTTCAAAGTGGCCACTTATTCTAGAACGGAAGGAGAACTACTTAGAACTAGGACCCCTTCTGAAGCATTGAACACCTTCAGAGGGCTGAGTTTGTTCTTAATATTATGCTACATTTTTTCACTTAGACTAAGCATACAACAAAAAGTCAACAACCCAATCTAGGGGGGTGGACAGTCGGAACATACGTTACCCCTACCAAGGAAGGTAGCGAGGCATCTCTTAAACTTAGCATTGAACAAGTTGAGAGGGCCAAGTATGTTCTTAATATTCTGCTACATTTCTTCTCTAAAACTTTGCATACAATGAGAACAAGTCAACAACCCAGTCTATGGGGTTGGATAGACATAGACCTTAACACTTCTTAGAAAGGTAGAGAGGCATCTCCTAAACTTAGCATCTCCGGCCTTCTAAATGTTCATTTCATAAATGTTTATCCATACAATTAAATTTCTTACCAACATCTTCTTAAAGCTTCACACAGACAACTCAAAATTTCGAGATTCTGACTCTCCTGTCTGAATCAAACGCCCTCTTAGCCATCACTTTCATTGGCAATATTTTATGCAGAAACTAAAAAACTTCCTGAATTGCTTCTTCAAGCGATTCTCTATATCTTCTTTTTCTTGCTAATATAGTAATGCCAACGACAATTACTATGTGCTTCCACTCACCATATTTGTACTGCGCTATGGAGAACAGCATTTTGATTCAACCTCCATTTACTTATTTATTTATTTTGCTTAAGAGTTATACAATCAAATATGATAAGGCAGTTCTTCAAATTCACTGGGAAATGGGAAATGGGAAACTCCTAAGTCCTAACCAGCTACACTCTATGCGCATCAATAGCTCCATTTTAAAATCCTGAACCAAAGATATGGATCCAAATGTTCAAATTAAGGGCAAAAAACTAATATGAAGTGAAATAAATATGAACTAGAGAGGCGTGTAATATAAATACATGGATAAGAGAACGGATTAAGCTTATATTGCACCTTTGAAAGGTCTTGTGTGCAGTTTCCTGGAGATGGAAAAGGAGAGGAATCTACTGCCGCCGAAGTCGGGCTTGAAATTTAATGGCCCGTATTTACTGCTACTGTTATATCGGAGATAACAATCAGAAGAAGAGGAAGAAAACGACGACGGAGAATATGAACAGCCCAGTGCAGTAGTTGCCATTTGACTTGCTGAAGACGACGATGATATGGCTGGATTCAAGAGCAGGCGAACAGGGAGTCTCTGGACCCTAGATGAAAACATGGATGGTTTGATAACTTTTAATTTGGCTCCTTTGCTGAATAGGGAAATAGGAAGAATGAAAAGATGAAAAAGAAAAATGGTTCTCCCTTCTAATGTTCTACCTATTCCCTAGTTTATTGAGAACGTTTACTGTATAATTATGAACTAGGTATTTAAGTAAATGTTCATTTTCAATTAATATAGTATTTGTTATTAAATAACTAATATTTATTTTCACGCATTTGCTCATTACAAGTATAATATTCATTTATAAATAATATAGTGTTGATTTCGAAACAACATAGTATTCATTTCGAGATTGTTCGACATAGGGTTCTTTTTGAAAGAACGCAGTATTCATTCTCTAACAACGTAGTACTCATTTTAAAACAATGTAGTGTTCATTTCAAATCTGCTCAGCGTTCATACTACCCCCAAATTCATATCACCGCCTCCACCAACTTCATCTTCATCTCAGCTTCCAATTCTGCAGTGCTCCAATCCATTAGCTCTTTCATCGCTCCAATTCATTAGCTTCTTCGAATTTCTAGCGCTCCACTGGCAAGCTCTACCATCAGCACTCTCTCACACTCTTCGTCAGTCGGCACCATCTCTCTCGTGCCTAAGGTTTCGTCAATTGGCTCTACCATTGATCCTCTTTTGTGTTTCAAGAGCCAGTTGTATCCAAACATTGGTAAAACCAGATGCGCGGTAGAAGTTGCAAGTTTATTATATTCATGATCCTTTGTTTTGGTAAATATATACTGTCATCACTTCACATTTTGAAAACAGACACCAGTGTCCTCTCTAAACACGTTTTTTAGTAATTTTAACACATTAACTTGTTTTCTACTAATATACAAATTATATCATACTCGTGCATATGTTTTAACTGTTTCCCATATAAATTAGAGTAAAGTTAGTTTAATCACTCGCTGGAAATCGAGAGTGGTGACAACACTGCGTAACAGCCAACAAATATGATTGGTATACGAAAAAATATGCAGAAGACTTCATGGACTCAACGAACCACGTAAAACATGCTTTTTGATTAAAGTTATTTCAAAGTATACCAAACAACTTCAATCAAATAAGCGCTAGTATTTAGAACGAGTATGGATGTCTAATTTTCTCCAACATACCGAGGGTCTCTACAGATATAGAGGAAATACTTATGAGACGTGTCATTCGAATTTTTATTCAAACATTTGAATGTGTGCATCAATTTACCCACAAATCAGTGCGTCTGGTCGACTAACATTCAAATATTTCAAGTAAATATTTTTCTTGAAAGGAACAATTATTTCATTATTGAATAATATCAAATGTCAAAGCATCAAAAATATAAGATGGAGGGGCAGACGCCCACTTCAAGAAATCGGACATAGATTCAAATGCTCTAGCTAACAAGTGAGCAACTTGATTCACTAATTTCCTACTCAAAGATCATGAAATGAAAGAGAATGAAACTCTGCCGATAGTGTCTTACAATCACAAACCATTCTAAGAAAATAAGAGGTAGTAGTGTCCTCCGCTTGAAGAGCTAAATCAGTGGTTGATTGTCTATTTCAACGTCCACCTTCTGCTCTATGAATTACCCTTGAATCCATTTAAGTGTCTCTCGTACTCTCATGGCTTCTGTCATTAGTCACTTTCTGTTCTTCCGAGACTGCAATGTATTCCGTGAATAAAGTTCCCATGCTCATCACGCACCTCCACTCCCATCCTTCCACCCTCGTGCTTGAAGTATAACTAGCATCCACATTACATTTTAATTTTCACTGCTTAAAGACTACCATTTAGAATTATGCACCACCAGTTCACTGTGCGACAACTACTCCCCCGTGTTTGTCGCCTGCTAATTATCATACCACCTCAATGTCGGAGCTCTCATAAGTTTGTTATTACACATGAATTGATTTTGTTGAGCCCAAATCTCCTAGCATATAATTACAAGCTTTGCTACATGACTCTTCCCAACCCCATGTCGAGCTGCCTCCAACCATTGATCTACTTTGTCAACCCTCAACCAACATATCCCATCAACATGTTGCATACAATGCCTTGCAATGGGCAGTGTATCAGGCAATGCATGGTGGTCTCTGCCACCCCTAGGCATCGAGGTCACATTTCAAACACGATCGCATGCTTTTTAGCTAGATTTGCATAAAAAGGTAGGCCATCATTTAAAGATCACCATATGAATTTTTAGACCTTTGGAGGGACTTGCAATTTCCACACATAACGCCATAAATCCGTACTCGACATACCTTGAATGGGTTGTTCTAGAAGTAGCATCTTGTACCTTTGCTTCACTGTAAATTTGTCCTTTTGATACAAATATGGTGAGTGGGAGCATCTTGTACTCAACATCCATCCCCCGTGTCTGTTGCACACAACAGGTGGTATTTGGTGAATCTCGTCAATATCATCTTGTGTAAAAATAGCTTAAATCACACCTACATTCCAGTTATGAGACGCATGATCAATAAGTGATGCCACCTTTAGGTCGTTAAAGTTGGGTGGTAGAGGGGTCCTTATTATATACGGGTCTTCATCTCGCATTAACCATGGACTCCCCACAATATGCCCCCTACAATTGCCAATCCTTCGAACAGAGTCCATTTTCAACAACTTTTGTCCATCCAAAAGCAATCTCCATACAAAAATCGGATTATACTCGACACTTGCATACAATAAATCTGTGTTTGCAAAGCGCCTAGGCTTACAAACTTGATAGACCAAAGAGTTAGGGCGTGTGAAAATATTCCAAGCGGTTTTGGCCAACAATGCCAAATTGAAGAGATGTAGTTGGCGAAACCCAAGTCCCCCTCCTCTTTTACCCTACCAAGTCAATGCCACGACATCCAAGTCATTCCCCTATTTTGTGTTCAATCCCAATTTATGAAGGCACTCGGTGTTGATCAGATGGTTGCTACTATGCATGTTTTTTGCTACATCAAGGGACATCTATGTAAGAGCATTTTACTGAGTGTGGGTAGTAATCTTCAAATACTGCCTATTGTGATTCTGATTGGGTAAGTTTCCCTTTGTCCTGACGCTCTGTTAGTGGGTATTTTACTATGTTGGGTACTTCCCCTATTTTGTGTCAATATCATTTGCAGGAACAAAATATCAAGCTATGGAGAATGCATGTGTTGAGATCAGATGGATGTCGGGTTTTCTCGGGGATCTTGGCGTGCCTATTCTATATCCTCTTTGTTTATATTGTGACAACCGGTCTGCTTTATATATTGCGTCTAATCTTGTTTTTTCACAAACACTTGCAATATATTGATGTTGATGGCCACACTATTCGTGAATCATTTTAGATACATGATGTTTCTACTCGTTATGTTTCTATGCGCTATCAACTGACAAATATTTCTACTAAAGCTTTATATAAATATACTTTTGATTTCTTATAGTGCAAGTTGTGCATTCATGATATTCGTGTGCCAAATTGACGGGGAGTCTTAGTGGCTATTTCGTGTACTTAGGTTTATTATGTATTTGGGCTTGAATACTTGTATATATATATGAGTTAATATTTAATGAAAAAGCAGAATTGTTTACGCCAAAACTTTACATTCACACTCTCCATGTTCTTTCTTTCATTTAGTATATAGATACTTTCAGCAAGGGACTTCCTTCACTTCTCTTCATTGATTTTAGAGACAGTCTTGGCATCACATGTATTCCCGTCATGATGTTAGGAGCTTGTCAAATATTGTTATTAATAGCAAATGATTGCATTTGTCCGTTTATATTCTTGTACCCCCCTTGGCATTTGGTTATTTATGTCCTTATAACTTTCATTCTTTATTTACACATGAAAATAATACTCTCTTCGTCCCTGAGCATTTGTCCACTTTTGACTTTTTTGGTCAAAATTGATAAATTTTGACCTCAAATTGAACAAATAATGATATTAGATATTGATACAAAATAGTTTTATTAGATTAATTATATGAAATATTTTCAAAATATTATTTTATCTAATTAAAATAAAATATATATTTTATTTAATTATAGGTCAAAGATTGAAAGCAGTTGACTAAAAAAAGTCAAAATTGGACAGATACTCAGCGACGAAGGTAGTGGCTTCTTTCACAAGCGCCCGCAAGGCATAGCCTAGTTGGTTCCGGAAGGGACAAATTTGCAACAAAGCGCAAGGGTCAATTTCCAGCATTGTGTAGTATATGAGTGATATTCTGATGCCATTTTAGGCTATAAGAATGAGCTCCTTACATGTATGTAGAGCTGGCCTCCTCCCTTAACGGGCCTCTAGGTTCCGGATTTACCTCTCTCCATATACCTTGTCGGGTTAGGGTGTGGGGGCCTTTAGGGGTGGGGATTCAACCTTTTCGCAACAAATCGTGAACCAAAATAGAAAAATCACTTACGAGATCCAAATATCAACCGACGATATATAGTTCATAGTGCAACATCAATGACGCCAAAACTTAAGTATGTAGAAGATATTCTGTATTGATTTACAAAAGATAACGACCACATACATAGTAATAATAACTTTTAAAGTAAAATTGTGTACTTTGACACTTTTTTGAAGTCAAAAATCATTCCATTAATTTAAAGAGTTCGGGATACAATCAAATGGAGCAAAGTCTCAAGACGAAGAGGATTGTTGACCAAAAGCCCTAGAGGCTAAAATATGAGAGAAATTAAAATGACAAAAAATAAAATCACAAGAACAAAAATTGAAGGACTGCATAACCATTTTGCACTGAAGAATAGTCAAGGCCTCAAAAGATGAACCCACGAACCAATGATTCTTGATGGAGAGAATTAAAGTCATGCAATCCGAAAGAACCTGAATTCTTGGAATGATTTTGTCATTGATCCAAGATAAAGCTTCATTGAGAGCCAAAGTCTTGGCCATAAGCGGGTTCAAATAAAAATTGAGTTTACCATTGATAGCCTTCACAAAATTGAGTTTAAGTGTACTTTGACACTTAAAGTTAAACTAATGCAAAAGTGAGAGCAATTTCAAAAAACATAAAAAAATTCCTTAAAGTGAAAATAGAACATATTTTGGGGCAGACAAACAAAGATGAAATGTGGAACCATTTTATATGAAGGAGGGAGTACTACAAAAATATGCAGCATAGTTTGGGCAATCCACCAACTGGTCTCTTATTTTTTCAAACAAGCCACACAAAGTGTGCGTTTCCAATATAACAGCTTCCTGGAAAGAAAAAATTAAAACAAATTGGTTATTAAAATAATAATAATAGGGACACTAGGACACAACCAATCAAGAATTGTGTAGTTAAATGACACTGCTATGATTCTCCTAAATGAGAGATAATATATTCGATCTATGTGGAGGCAAGAACTCTACGAGTTTCAAAAATTTGAGATTGCATGACCCGATACTATCTTGTAACAAAGTAATTAGTGTTCAAAAAAGAATATTCATATTATGGGTAGTGAGAGGAATAAAGAATGTATATCTTGTGGTTGACTTTTCAATTTTTCTTTGACGTGAAGGTTAAATATAGGATGTGATAGTAGATTTATAGTAAATAGATATGATGTGATATGTTATGTATGATTTATTAAGGTAAAATAGACATTTCAATGGAGTGAAAGTATTTTGTTGAAAAAGTAAAAATTAAAATATGAAAGAGAAAATGTTTTAGAAAATAGAGAGAGTAGTGATAGAATTTAGGATGGGGTATGGATAACTGGATTGGGGCAATAAGACACTTGGGCTTAACCACATTAAAAGATTGAATCCAATCGAATATACCGATTATTTTACTCTTGGATTTCCGATGTGGGATGTACTCTAACACTCCCCCTCAAATGGACAACCGGGCCATTTTGAATCTAACCGGTTGACCACTTGCAAATGAACTCCCATTCCCTTGACTCTTTTTTTTTGAGCGCCAACACCTAAAGGACCACGAGCCGCTGGGTATGGACTTCCAGACGATCAATCGTGTTAAATAGGCCACATGCCGTTGGATACAACCTCCATACTGACAACTAGGCTAAAGACTAACGGGCCGCTAGGAATGAACGTCTAGACGGACACCTTGACAAACGAGGTGGGCTAAAACTGGCTCTGATACCATGATAGAATTTGGGATGGGTATGGACAACTAGATTGGGCAATAAGACACTTGGGTTGAGCCACATTAAAAGATTGGATCCAATCGATTAGTTAGTTCAACTGAAGAGCTTATATACCGGTTATTTTACTCTTGAACTTCCGATGTGGGATGTACTCTAACAAGTAGTAGTAGTTATAGTAGTAGTAGTAGCAGTAGTAGTAATAATAATAATACAACAACAACCCAGTTAAATCCCACAAGAGTAGGGTCTGGGGAGGGTGTGTGTACGCAGACCTTGCCCCTACTCGAAAGTAGAAAGGCTGTTTCCAAAGAGACCCCCGGCTCAACGTCGAAAGTTGCATTGCTTGACTAACTGCTACTTTATTAATTAAAGAAGCGCAGACAGTTTAGAGATCCATTTTGATTTATTCCATCACACCCCAAAGCCAAAAAATGGTGAAATTTTGGCTCCATCGGAGATGATGGAACGAGTAGTAGTAGTAGTAGTAATAATAATAATAATAATAATAATAATAATAATAATAATAAAATTACTCGTTATAAGTTGGTTAGTTTTGACGTGTTACTCCATTATATATATATATATATATATATATATATATATATATATATATATATATATATATATATATATATATATATATATATATATATATATATATATATATATATATATCAGGATCAGCCTAAGGGTGGGCCAAGGATCCCTACCGGCCCTACCCACGCCTATTCTTCTTGGGCCTAAATTTTTTTTTCCCATATATTTAAGGCTTTACCCACTTTATGTTTAATTCAATTTATTTGGTTATAAATGTAAAACTCAAAAATAAAATTTATATATTTAAAAATTAAATAAAAATTTCTATGGAATAAGAAGTTACATAACTAGGGTAGTATATTATATTATACAAAGTATTTTTTTAATAAGTAGTGACCATTCTCAATCAAAATGAATAAAATCTGGCCGTGTAAATAATATATGAATGAGAAGAACCAATTTTGATGTAGAGAGCATATGTAGTGTTTGTCAATAACCAATGCATGCAACATGAAAAAAATGAGAATGTATGTGATATATTCGATTTAGAATTAATTTAGAGGTACACTAATATGGGGTACCCTAGTTGTACATTAATCTAACAGTGACACACACGTACAAACAATGTTTGTGCATGCACAGACATTATGTGTTTGTGTTTGCTTAGTGTACAAACAGGGCACCCCATGTTGGTATACCTCTAACATTTGCCTTTGATTTAACATCTAGTAACTAGTAAACAAGTAAAAAAACAAGAAAAACATGATGACATAGTGGCAAATAAGTTGAACATCAATGTCATCGTCGGTAAAGGTGCACTATTATTAATGTTGAAATCCTCAAATGAGAGTAGTTGTCCAAATGTATGTAGGTACCTTGATTTAGAAGATCAGAAGGTGGGTGCCCTTTCTAACATTTGCAATCCTACAATTTTGATAAATAAAAGAAGCATTAGATCCATCTTTCATTAAGTTGTGTTCCGTTCGACTAATCTGATCAGATCTGATTTTTTGAAGATCTGATTTGGTCTGATTAGGCCTGATCTAGTCTGATCTGATCTGATTGCAGTTATAATCAAAGACGTTTATGATCTGATATTGTCTAGTCTGATCTGATATGATTATAATAAGAATAAGTAATAATTAAAAAAATAAGTTGAACGAAATGCTTCCTTAATAGAGCTATTCTTCTAATAAAAAGGGTGAGTCTCATCTCCGAGAGCCCTCAAACTCGACCAAACGGTCATTGAGAAAAAGTAAATTGGACTTTTATTGCAAATTAGTTGCAGAGAGTGGAGTCTGCATATAGGACTTGTAGAGACCTTATGTTTAGCATAATTGCATCTCAAGCACAATTGTCAGAAATCGAACTGGAATTTATTCTTTGATGCTCACTATTTTTATCAACTGCGCAATGCCCACCGACCACTATTCTTTAGCTCTTTTGACAAGTTGTCATGTAGTGTTGTTGAATCACGTTTGTCATTTTCACTTTATAAGACTTTTCTTGCATTCTTTGAAGTTAAAAAAATATTTTTTTCTGGAACAATGATAATATCAAAATACTTCACCTTCCCACTCATTGTTAAGTATAAGTGGTAGTGACACGAAATTAAGTTATGAGAAATAGAATTTTGTTGTTACTGCCCTATATTATTGTTAAAAAGAGTACGAAAAAAATAGGAATGCACTCATCTTCAAAAAGAAATCAAATACGGACTATTGAAGAAGACATGAATACTAAAGGATGTTTCTAGTTATAAATATTTTTGAATTTATAAATTGTTTAAGTAAGTTAAATGAGAGATAAGTCATTATTATGAATATTCATAAATGATAAGTTATATATTTTCGTAAAAGAGTTGGTCAAATTTAAGAATTATAAAACTGGTTTAAAAATAAGTTAATTGAACCTACTTATTTTTTATTTAAAAATAATTAACTTGTTTACAAGCATAGAGAAATATGTTATTAATGAACTTGTAAAATATGCTATCAAGGCGTGCCTTTAAAATAAGAAGTAACTTTGATGTTATTTTCAAATTATGACTCATCTATCATACACATCTCATCCTACTCGATTACTCCTTCCGCCACAAAAAGATGTTCTCATTTCATTTTTTATGCGTCCCATAAAACACTTTTACACACATCTATAATGCTTAAAATTCACTACACTTCTACTTTGTTGCGGGTTTGTTTTGAAAGTTTTTTTGACATTTGAGTTGGGGCAGAAGTATTTTATGGGATGTGCAAAAAAGGAAACAAGAATATTTTTTTGGGACAGAGGAAGTACAAAGTAAGAATAAAATTAGAAAGTAACACCAAATATACTAATTTTAAGGGCACGTCTTTTTTAAAACATAGGAAGACTTTTATGGGAGGGAGGAAATATTTAATTTGCTGCGGCTCTTACCTGGGTTAGCTGGTTCTTTTGATTTACGCCAAAGTTTCCATGCAATATATACGGCTAAACAAACAATAAGTAATATTAAAACCCCAATCCCCATTTTCCCAGCGAAGGATAGACTGTCGAGGAATGTCTTCCCGTACGACTCATTGTCATCGTCGCCGTCGCCGGCATTGGAGTTTGAGAAGTGAAGAAACAAAAGAAACACAAATATGAGTATTATTCTCTCCATTATATTTTGCTGGTTGTTCTTATTTAACTTCCAGGTTTTCTAGGGCAGATAGATAAATAGATATAGAGCAAGATTTGGCCGCTTTTGCGTAGATTACTCCATAATTTACACAGTCATGACACACTTGGACTAATAATTTGATTTTCTGGGTTTTTTTGGCAAGTGAGACGTCTTTCATACTCTTCTCGTCTTAAAGTATTTTTTTGATGATTATTTGTGACTCATTAATGATCTCACTCCTTGTAAAGCCATAAATAAGGGAGGCAGCTTATTATTTTGGACATCATAAAACATTACTCTTTGGAAAAATGGGGTACTAGCATGGGTGCCCCGTGGTTTACAAAAAGAGCACCAAAACCTCCTCTACTTTTAAAAGTTATTTGCAAAATTCTTGTGGTTTTTAAATAGTGCACCGACGCCCCTCTTGCCTATTTTTAGACATGCAATTACATTTTGGCCCTTGGTTTTTCTCTATCTTCAAATTTCACTCTTTTATTTGCATATTTTGTAATTTAAATAAATAAAATAAAATATACACCCTCTTTCTCAAATTAAAATTTTTCATTTATTTATTTTTCAAATTTTTTTAAAGAAAATGTATGTTACAAAAAATGAAAAATCAAAAAATGAAATGAAATACACCTTCTCATTATAAGTAAAAGTAAAATAAATAAAATAAAAAATTAGATAACATATACTCACTCTATCTCTAATTAAAAATCCTAACTTATTTGTTTTTTAAGAGTAACATAATTTTTTTAAGGACTTTAAAAAATGAAGAACAAAAAGATGAATAAAATATGCAGGTAAGGAAAAAGATTGTTTTTATATTTTTATTTCTTTTTATTACCTTTTCAATTATTATTTTTATTTTGTACATAATATTCATTTTTCATTTTCTTTTGTAACATTCTCCAAAAAAATCTTTTGTTTTCAAAAGTACATTATGAAAAATTCTAATTTGAGATGGGAAGCGTATATTTTATTTTATACGGAGTATATTTGTATAATAAAGGAAAATAAAATTAGAAAAATTCAAGATCAGGGAAAAGAAAGGATATAAATGTCATTTTTGCTTTAAAAATAGGTGAGGGGACATGTGTGCTCTATTTAGAAACCATAGCAATTTTACAAATAACTTTTGAAAACAAAGGGAGTTTTGACACCCTTTTTGTAAACCACGGGGCACCCATACTATTAGCCCTTGGAAAAATATTTGTTTTTCAATGTAGCCAACATTAAGCTACTTTAAAAAAAGGGACGTTGAAGGGGTCTCATCCTCTTTTTTCTTCCTTATCGGCGTGTCAAACGTTTAACACATCTTATATAATGATACTTTAACTACTAAAGGGGCAGTGTTTAACCAAAAAACTGCTGTCGGGTACCTCATGCTTTGTTGTAAGAACCGTCAGGTACCCCTATTTTTCAAAATATACTCTCAGGTACCCTAAATTTTAAAAAAACTTATTAAGGGGGGATTTTCCATCCACTCACCGTCTATCTCCCTTTGTCCGTTAATGCACCATCATCATCATCCATCATCCATCATCATCATCATCATTACACCACCATCCCCATATCTTCGTTCTTCCTCTTCTCTTTTTTCCTTTCTTCTTTTTCTTCTTCTTCTTTTTCTTCTTCTTCTTCTTCTTCTTCTTCTTCTTCTTTCTTCTTCTTCTTTCTTCTTCTTCTCCTCAATAAATACTATTATTATTATTATTATTATTATTATTATTATTATTACCATTATTATTATTATTATTATTATTATTATTATTATTATTATTATTATTATTATTATTATTATTATTCTTATTCTTATTCTTCTAGACCCCCCACCACTCACGCACCATTATTTCTCCTTCTTCTCCTTCTATTATTATTATTATTATTATTATTATTATTATTATTATTATTATTATTGTTGTTGTTGTTGTTGTTGTTGTTGTTGTTGTTGTTGTTGTTGTTGTTGTTGTTGTTGTTGTTGTTGTTGTTATTATTATTATTATTACCATTATTATTATTACCGGAGTATTATTCTTATTCTTATTCTTATTATTGTTTAGTTGTTTTACTACTATATTTTTAACAAAAAAATACTAAAGCTCCCACCAAAAATTGGATACTCCATTAATCTTTCACAATCTATATTAATCTAAAAAACAAAAAATTATTGTTTGGTACCCTTAATTTTGTGCTTAGAACGGTCGGACACCTTCAATTTTATAGTGAAACTATTAATTAATTTTTAATAATAATAATAATAATAGAAGAAGAAGAAAATATTACTTCATAATATTAACAATAATACTACCTCCGTCTCAGAGTATTTGTCCACTTTCATTTTTACACACCATCCAATACACTTCTTTAATCCATTTTATCTTGTAATTTGTATATTAAAAAATTATAGAAATTATATATTAATAATCTATAAGTTAAGACAAATCAAACAAGATCACACATGACTATATTTAGGCTTACACATTAAGAGAATTTGATGAGTCAAAGTGCTTAGATGAACAGTTCCAAAAGTCAAAACTGGACGAATACTTCGGGACGGAGGGAGTAATTTAGAAGAAGAAAATAATACTTTGTAATAAATAATAATAATACGTAGTAATAATATACGGAGTAATAAGAATGATGGTTTTTTGTTAACAAAAAAATGATGATGATGATGATCATAATAATAATAATAATAATAATAATAATAATAATAGAAGGAGAAGAAGGAGAAATAAGGGTGAGTGGTGGGGGGTCTAGAAGATCGGGTGTGGAAAGAGGGGGAGGAGCAGTGGCGGATCCAGGAAATTTTATGACTAGGGGCACCATCGGTACGTCAAGAACATGATTCAGGACATCGTTCGCCCAAATCTTTTTAAAAAGAATTTTAAAGTATAGAAAAGCTATATGTAGTAAATTTTTTATTGAAAAATATATTCAAATAGTTGAAATGAAACACTCAAAAAAATCTAATAATAAATTTCTCCGGGTAACAAAAGTGTAAATGGTTCACAAGTATGTGACGAAAAAATGTCAATAATTCAATAAATTATTTTAGTAATTTTAGACAAATAAAACGTATATTACAGAATACATCAATTTATATCTTAGTTCAATTATAATGTTTTGAAAATCGACACTTTCTCTATGGTATTCTACATTTAACAATTTTTGTCAACAATGTATAGGTTCTTTAATACTCCGTATCGTTTTGGACAAATATTAAGTAACCAGCTACAATCAATTAAATGATCTCATTTTATATAGGAAAAATTACCTAAAATAATCCCAACTTTACCCGGTCTTTCAAAAATAATCTCACCTTTCACTGTAATGCATAATAATCCCAACTTTACTGAAATTTGCCAGTTTTGGATCGCCGTTAAATTTCTAACGGAGGGTTAACGGAAATGCCCGTTTTAGGCAACAAAATGAAAGTAGGGATTATTTTTGATGAATTTTCATTTTTTTTATTTTTTTTTTAAATTTTTCATTTAAATTTTTAAAATTACTTTCTACCTCCATCATCATTTCTTTTTCCTTTTTTAAAGATTAGTCTTAGTTTAAAAAAAATGAAATAATAGATATAAAAAAATGAAAAAAATGAGAAATGTAACTAAAATGATACAAAAATAATAAAATAAATAATGTAATCAATGGAAACTAACTTGAAATTGGTAAAATTAAAATAAAAATATACGGGTGGGTTTTAATATTTTACGCACTATACAAAGTATTAACATATCAATTCTTATTTTTTATAAAAAATTATCTACAATAATTCCAACTTTACAAGACAGCTTTTTCTTTTAAAAAATAAGTAGTACATTAAGACTCCATATAGTGTGTAAAATGTTAAAACCCACCACTCCGTATATATTTATTTTATTTCTTACTAGTTTTTTTTAATTTCTATTGATTATATTATTTATTTGATTAATTTTGTATGGTTTTAATTATTTTTCTTATTTTCATTATTTTTTATATCTTTTTTTCTAAGGTAAGAATAATCTTTAAAAAATAAAAAGAAATGGAGTTGGGATTATTATGCATCACAGTGAAAGGTGGGATTATTTTTGAAAGACCGAGTAAAATTGGGATTATTTTGGGTAATTTTTCCTTTTATATAAAGTAAACAAGAAAAAAATATCGCAAATACCAAGTACAACTTTGGACAATAAAAAAATGTACTCCCTCCGTTCTAAAAAAGAATTCCCACTTTGAAAAAGTGGGAAAATAAGAAAGTGTTAAATTGTAGTTGACTTCCAATTTTGCCCTTGATGTGATGGGTAAAAGTAAGATGTGATGGGTAGATTATTAGAGAAAAAGTATGATGTGATAGGTAGGGTATGAAAAAGTGAGGGTAAAAGTGGTTTTTTAATAGAAAGTGGAAGTGTTTTGTTGGAAGTAAAAAAATGAAAGAAGAAGTGTTTTTGAGAACGGATGAAGTGCTTAGATGAATTGTTCCAAAAGTCAAAACTGGACGAATACTCCGGGACAGAGGGAGTATAAATGAATGCCCAATAAATCTCCCCGTATAAAAACTCAATTTTCAAAAAAAGAAATACTATATGGAATTATCCTTGTGATTCACTTATAGTATTTATCTTTTTTGTTGAGATGGTATTTCAAAAATGGACTGGGTGCTCTTCATTTTCTGACTGAGGCACTCTATTTAGCCGAGCAATTTTTTTATCTTTTCTACACTAGCCATGCATGCCAATTGACAGGGGGCAATTGCCCCCCATATAATTAACCTAGATCCGCCAATGGGGAGGAGGAT